GTTGGCAAGATATATTCATTCACAGTTTTAAAACAATTTGGCGCAGCTTTTGTTTTGATAGACGTTTTGGTTTTTTTTTTTAACTTTGAGCGAAGATATCTTGACAAACTACTGACCAAATTTGATGAACTTTTTTTTATTTGAATTTTATGAATCTATAGAATTAAAATAAAAAAAAATTTCATCAAATTTAATAAGGTGGTTGTCAAGATATTTTTATTTAAAGTTTTAAAATTTTTATTATTGCTAGGGGGTATGTATATTAAATGTGGGGTACAAAAATTGGGACCATAGATTAATTCTATCAATTTTAAATTTAATATGGTATGTATAATTTGAAAATGAAAGTTTGAGGATGCAATAAAGATTGAATTGGAAAAGAGAAATTATTATTAAGCGAAATATAACGAAAATTATTTTATTATAAAAATTGCGGTAATAATTTTTTGATCAAAAAACAGAAAAATCTAGACATATGTTTGATTCTATTGAGTGATCTACCATCCAATATGGTGTGTAACCCTGACATTCTGTCTTTTCGATCTATTGACTCTTGTCAACATGCATTACTTCATAAAATTTGTCGACCATATCTATTCTCACTAAAAAATCATTGTATAATCGCACAACCAGATAACAATCAAGTGATTGTATAGTGTGCAGCGATCTACAAATTTGATCAAAACATCATATTGAATTTCAACTTAAAATTAATAAATGCATCTAGAATCTATGTACTGTACATACGCACAACATATGTGCAGCGAGCAGAATTAACTGACACAATATGGCCAGCATTGGGGCTGGTTATAATTAACTCACGTGTATTCAAAGTCGGTATTCTAAATCGGTATCGGTATAGTTAACTATCAAAGTTGTACTTACCGTTACGCAACATATAAAATACTAACATAACGATAAAAGGATGATCTTAGTAATATTTGGGCTAAGTTTATCCCCTGAAAAGTTTGATTAGCGTTGCTTATCATATTTTCAAGGGCAAAGCCCTTTGGTTTATAAATTTACTGTAAAAAATCGAAATATAGTTTTCATTTAGTGACAATTCATTTAGCAATAACTTATGCTAAAGATTTGGCAAAGTATTGTGGTCATGTGATTTACTTACCATTCCTCTTTCAGTATGAGATATGCGATATTATTGAAAAGAATTTTGTACTGTATAAATTAAATTTTACAAAATTAAAATTCAAAAGGAAAATTCGTAATCAAACGTTAAAATACTGTATTTTACAAATGGTATAATTTATTATAAAAATACAAATATTATTTGTTATATGCGTTCTATACACGTAATATATAGTTAAAGTTTATTAGATGTTTCCAATTCAAACATTACTGGAACTCCTTATTGCAAAAACAAATAAATAAATATGTACATTATAAATATTTTTTAAAGGATATGAATATTTAAAGGCAATGAATAAATATTTATTAGGCGAAGAGCAAACATGTTTTTATCTAAACAAAGAGAAACTGGTTTAAAGATAATAAATAGGAATTGATTTTCAAAACAAATCAATCTTTTTTTTTTTAGATATTCACAATGAATAAATAAATATATATATATATATATAATATATATATCTGTTATCAGATTTTTGAATTAGTCGATTAAATTTACTTTTAGATATTTGATAGGTTCATTACAAAACATAACACAACCCAATTTTTTCTATAATTACTTAAAGGGATCAATGTTACTATAGTAACAATTAAGATTACGCCACCGTAACTCCATTTATCAATGCCTTATTACAATTTCAAGAAACTATTGCAAAGATAAGGTAATGATAAACGAACACTTACGTATGTAAACACGCACGCAAGCTAACATTTATACCAGATACGTGCAGTACGTACCTAATATTTTTTAATAAAATGTAACGCCAAATTTTCACTAAGCAATGCATTAAAATGGGCGACAATATGATAAGCATCTTTGATCATTAAAATTCAAGAAATTGGCGTAAAAAGTTGCTTCTTTTATAATTTAATTTGAAATACTTAGTAAATAATTAATCCACCTAATATGGTGAATAAATTTGCTTATGGTGTCAACTATTAACATAGTTACCTAATTATGGATATTTAATATTTTTAATAAAACTTTTGTTTAATAAACAAAAGTCAATAACAAATATAATTAGTTATTTTAATTGGTTAACTTCTTTATAAGAAGAATTCCATGTATAATCAATCACAAGGGTCCAGTATATGGTTTCATATACAGTACAGTAGTATGTCGGCACGTATCACGATTTCGTTAGTTACACAATTTAATCTATGCAAGTCGTGTATTGTAGTATAATCTCATGAAAAGTTATTTTTGTATTTGACATTTTTTTATTCTTTTTTAGATTATCTTTAAATAAATGAAAACATTAAAGCCACTTTTTAAACCATTTTAAACTTTTCAGTGTTGAGTTAGATTAAAAAGATAAAGATCAAATAGTTGCTATAAATTCTATGGAACTTTCTAATTTACTACCAATAAAGTATAGAATTAGTGTGCATAGATAGACATGCTTATGGTTGGAGGAATATAATTATGGTTAAATAAAACTTCTCTATTGCATGATAACAACCCCTAGCGTTCATATATTCGATTTTTCGTTCTATTTTACATATATCATCTTTTTTATTAAATAAATGTTGTGTAACACCAGTTCAGGAAAAATATAACATAATTCTATATTCTAACTACATAATCTTTAATAAGTGGTATTTATGTAAATAAAGTAAACACATAATACGTAGCATAAGTTCTTTATTTGTTTGTTTAGCGGTTTGAAGTATTTTAATGAGTGTATTAAATGTACGATCCATGATAAACCGGTGTTACATCATTTGCTGGCGGTATAACAGCCACACTTGTTTTAGAAAATTAAAAATAATTCATTAATCAAAGAAAAAATTTTTCGATTACATACATATTTCACAATTGTATTTTCCCTGTACACATTGAAAATTAAAAAAGAACGGATGTGGTTTATCCGATGTCAAATTTATAACTTGCCAAATTTTTTTTTTTTTAATAAATATACAAACATAATGACGTTAGAAAAACCACAATGAAAATTTTTTTTCACTTACGAATTATTATTAATTCTGTTTTGTCATCGCGACAAACATATTCTCACATTCTTTTACGTTCGATATAAATATATTTTTAGCATTTATCATATTTTATCGGTTTAATACAATCATTTGTTATTAAAAGAGTTTTCTTTTTATCGCAAAAATGGGTATTAGTGCATCGGCTATTAACTCTTCAAAGACTCTTAAACAACAAATTCAAGATTGCAAAGATGATGATCCATTGTTTAGATATAAAAATGGCCGAAGATTTCTTAAAAATGCAACCATATTTTATTTTTTACCACTCGATGAACTTGAATCTGACAGGATGCAATTGAGAGTATGTAATTTTAGGTTTATAATTAAATGTAAAGTTTTCGATAAATTTAATCACATTTATTATTATTATTATTATTATTATTATTATTGCTATTATATTATTTTTATCATTTAAAAATTCTTTATTTTTTTTTATTTTTTATTATTTTTTTTAGCACGATGTAGATTGGCATATTTGGAGATCAAATTTTTCTTCTCCTATAGAAACAACCTTAAAACTTGGAGGAGCTCAAGCTCTCGATGTTGCGTAAGTTACAGTATATTAGGCCGTTCGAAGTTAATTTTTCGGGTAACATCATCCCCCTATCAGCCGATGTCTCTTCTCCGAAAAAACGAACAACCAATCAAAACGCTGGATACCTTTTACCAATCATTTGATATACATCAACCAATGAAATTGGCCCATTTTTATATGTTCGTTTCATTTATTCCCGCTCTTCCAAGAGTTCTAAAAGTGATGTTAACCGAAAATTCAACTGCAAGCGGCCTTACATATAATTTCATAATGATTTTTAATTTCTATTATTAAGCATAATTATTTTTAAATAAAAAGATGTGGATCTGGTCTTTGGGCATTTGAAATGGTATTTTATTTTTATTATTGAATAATTTTTAACTGTGTTTCACGTTTATCGATCACATATTAAATATTTATTTTAAAAGGCATCTGATTATCCTCTTTCGGAATTTACTGGTGTTGACATAGCACCAATTTTCCCATCCGATATAATGCCTCCAAATGTAAATTTTAAGCAATGTGATATATTGGAAGGATTGCCGTACAGTGATTGTTCGTTTTATTATATACACGTTAAGGATCTATTCCATCACTTTCCTCTAAAAATCATTAGGGATCGGTTATTTCCCGGTAAAGATGATCAAAAAAAAAGTTTCTTTATGCTAAATTTATATTGATTAATATCATATTAATCAGATTAAGTAACAGTTTAAATTATTTACTAGATTTGGTTCGCGTATTAAAACCTGGTGGATGGATCGAGATTCAAGATCGTGACCCAAATATGATAAATGCTGGTCCTATTTGCAAACGCCTCGAAGACATGAGTATGCATTCTTTACTATATATATATATATATAATTACATTCATTATTTTTTAACTTTATTTTTTATGATGGACAAAAATAGTGTCTTTAAGTTTTTTAAACCATGGTATACACATTAAAAACCATTATGATGATATGGAAAACATATTCAAAAAAAATAATCTAATCAAATATCGTCTTGAAAGAAGAACTGTTGCATATGCCGATCTTGATTTGGTAAAAATAATATTTTGGCAATTTTTAAATTTCAATAATTATAATATATCATATATTTATTAAATATTTATTAAATATTTACAGTAATTAATATTTTTTTCTATTTATTTAATTTGATTAATAATTAGGCAATACAGGATTTTCTTTCTACTTATAAAGCTATGAGATTTGCATTGACCGAATGTTCAGGCGCCACTCCTGAAGAATATGATGAGATAGTTGAAAATGCCAGTAAAGAATTAATTGAATATAATTCTGAATTTGGTTCAAGAAAGTATTTCGGTCAAAAACCTATGGTATATGATATTTAATATAAATTATGTATGCATAAAATAAGTGCGTACAGGTGATTATATGCATGTATTAATGTCTTTCGCTTTCTTAAATAAGTTTTATTTTTTTATAAGCTGTCTCTCTCTAAGGTTTTGCTTAATGAATAATAAAAGATAACGTAATTTTAAAATATCGCTTTAATTTTTCTACTATCATGCAGGATGGTGTATGTAATCTTTAATTTCGTATAATCACATTAAAATATTATGAAATTCTTAAGTGAAACCGTTTATGCATTAGTGAATGTATGCATTATTAATTAGTTATAATAATTATGTAATCGTGAATGAGCTATTTTAATTGAGAAATTTTTTTAGTGGTTCAATAACTTTTCATTGATGCGCCATTTTCTAAATGCATATCTCTTTAGAAACTTTTTTTTTTCTTTTACATTCGAAGATAATTCATTTATAAAATCAACTTAATATTATATCAGGAGGTATTCATTCTGATCTAAATTGATAACCTATAATCTGTTATAAGACTAATTCAGAATTAACGCTAAAATAAATTAGTTAGACTTCGGTCCTAATATCAGACCAGTCTGGACCAGTCTGGACTAGAAACTGTAAATTTAATTAATTAAATTTAATGTTAAAATAATTTAAATTTCGGAATTATAATTTTATATAATGTAGTAATTAAAAACAAAAATTTACGTAATCAAATGAATTTATTAAAAACGTATTACTGGTATATGATTAGATTACGTAGTTTATAAATCTTTGAAACTGACGATCATTTTGCAAGTTACCTTAATAAGTTAGATCCTTATTTCACATTAGGAGAAATAACCGGGTTTTACTTCTTTTTCCGGTTGTCGCGAAATTAAATAATATGAGTGCTGCAAAGCGAAAACCTGTAATTGTGAGTTTTCTGAAATTAATTTACAGATCAAACCCCGAAAAACACAAAATGATTTATATTGTGTTTAATTTAAATTTATCAGGAATCGGTGTCAGATCAGAAAGCGGAGCCGGCAAAAACCGAAATTCCGGGTTTTCGCTTTGCAGCACTCATATATTCTTAATAAATATATGCTAAGAGGTTGTTTATAATATTTTACATAGAACAAATAACGTAGAAACTATTTTTTATTATACTTCTAACGATTAAATATCGTACAATATGTATATAATATATTTTAATTTAATAAGCAAGTTATTTAAATTTACAATGCTTATGATGAAATAGATTGGGGCTAGACCAAAATAGACCAAAATAGACCAGTCTTTAAATCCGATATTTTGGATCTTAAAATAACTCAAGTGGTATTGATGTATATATCGAGTAATTGCATTCTCATTTATTTATTTTATTTTTTTATAAATTCAACCATTTATTTATTTATTCTAGAATTCCAATCTGGATAAATCCGTCATCCATTATCCGACAGTTTTTGGATAATTATCCAGATATCAATAATAAATCGATATCGAATAGATTCAGATCCGGATAAACGCTTAATCGATTAGAACTAATTTCAGAATTTATTCTTATTAATTTATTTCAATTTGTTACAATTTGTTATTTGGTTGTTCTTTTATTTGTTCATCTATTGTACATCTATTCAGGCTACGCAAAGTTAATTTTTCGCTTTGCGTTACCCGCAGACCCATTTTTTCAAGCTTTCAAAAAATTTTTTAAAGTCTCAATTGCGCCAATTATTCTATTTTTGCCATTTAATTTTTTCATAAATTAGTCCGATATCACCCGACAAAGATCTTGTTTTCCCGAAATTATCCGATAGACCGATAGAAAAAAATTTGACTGCCAACCCAATTTTCTGATTCCATGTTATGCAAAAAAATAAAATTAAATTTGAGTGACCTTAGATTGAACATGGTCTATCAATTTACTGTAGATTATCCGATCGCCGACCGGAATTTTGAAATCCTTTAATAAAAAACGAAAAATCAACTTTGTGTGGCCTTATGTATCATAAAATAAAAAAATAAAATTTATTAAGGAGTACTACTAGTCATTTGTCATTACACAATTTTTTTATTTTTTAAATATTAGTTTATTTAAAAATCAAAATTTTACTTGTGTGAGTACTGAACCCTTTAAGCTAATTCCAAGGACAAATAATTTCAAATACTCTCACATTTTATGTAATAAAGATTATAAAACATTATCAATTGATTTATAGGAAGACAATTATACTGACGTTTAAAGCAAGTATTATTTTATAGGGGAATTTACAAATAAAGGCTCAGAAAGTTAAAATAATTACAAATACGGGCCCTAATTAAAAATAATTATATATAAGGGCCTAATTTTTAAAAAATATTACATATAAGGGCCCAAAATAACTGTGACGCCTGTGGCTTGATCGTTATTAGTATAAAAAACGTAAACATTGCATAAAAAATGTAAGGATCGATTGTAAATTAGTAATTATAAATGAGAAAAGAATATTTTTTAAATTTAATAAACTTAATTTCTTTGTATGAAATTGCTTATTGTTATTACGAACCACTATGATGTCAAGTAAAACATTGCGAATTGGCATGTCATTTGCTAATATAGAAGATGTTCATTCAGCTTTAGAGTGTTACTTTGTTGAACTTCGCCTTATGAATAATTGTGCTAGTTTAACGCTACTTTTATGTAATATTTAAGCGAAAACGATTATAACTAGCACTTCATTTACTGTATTCTTTATCTAATAATCAATATATAGATAACTCTAAATGTCTATAACAAAACAATCGATAATCCTACAATCGTATCGTTATAAGCCTGTGATCCTAGATTTGTGCCCTTACATGTAATATTTTTTTAAAAACTAGGCCTCTATATGTAAGTATTTTTAATTTAGGCCCGTATTTGTAATTATTTTCACTTTCCGGGCCCTTATTTGTAAATTCCCCAAATTTTTATATGAACAGATAATAGTATCTTCGATTATGTTTACTACCGTCCGGATCGACTTACTTTATGTAATGCTTTTGAATTAAATCTGTGAACCTGATTCCCTTTATAATTTAAAATTCATATATACATTAACTATTGTAAACAAAAACAACTTTATTTTAATTATTTAATGTAAATTAAATATATATTAATTCAATATTGAACTAATTAACGAAAAAATCAATAGCTCAAAACTTAGCAACTATGTGCCTATTTTTGCGTGTTATTCTCTCGTAAATATTACTGCAACTATGAATTGCCAAAGACTATTTCTGAATTCTTTTCTTTCCGAATTAATTTTACTTAACTTTAACTCCTTACGAATATGATTGCATTATGGTTTGCTAAAAAACATTTCTGAATTCCACTCTTTCCTAAGTTATTTGTTTCAAATCTTAATAAATCAACACAATGTATAGCAGGCTTGTTAGTAAAAACTCATTATAGAGAAGCACGGTGGACAATCCTTGTAGCACAAACTTCCCATGCTGACTCAGGGTCGATCTGTCCAATAAAGTATGATATTTACCAATCACATGCACAATTTTTAATCAGTTTATAATAATTCGAAAGATTCTTATTTACTAGATCAAGGATATCTCACGATCCAATGGTCAGAATTTGATGAAGCTTATACCATTTGATTCTTTTCATTGAGACAAATCTAATGGTATAAAAATTGTCAAATTCTACCAATTTGATCGTAAGATATCTTCAATCTTTTATAAAATTTGCTTCTAATATAGCTCATTAAATATTGTGATTATTTTTGTTTAATTTTAATAAAACGTGGGCTTTCATGAGTTCTTTTTGCTACTTTATTTTTTTAATGTATTTAATTGGTAGTTCTTGAAAGATTACCAAAATAAAAAGTACTTTAACGCATATGAAAAGTTAGAAAAAATTTTTTTTCAATTTTTTAATTTTGAGAAAATTTAACATAAATCTATTATACCAGGATTGTACAGTGTAATAAAAATATAATCATATGCATGTATAGATGTATTAAACCACAATTTTTAAATATTTATTGTGAACGATTCCATCAAAAGTTTGATTGCATTTTTTTAGGAGTTTGAATATATATAGAAAAATGGTTTTTTTTTTGACTTAATTAATAACATTAACAACCATGATATAGCTTCATAATGAGTAGTTTTATCTTAGAAAAGCTTTACTCTAATTTTGATAAAAAAGCTTTCAATAAAATATTTATATGCTATAATATAGAACAAGTTTTAAAATTTAAAATTCAGAAATTAATTTTTTCAAAAATAAATCATCTCTTTTTTTTATAGATAGAAATGCAAAATTAAATGTCAACTTGGCTCAACTTTAACTTCTAATTCAAATCAACTTGATTTTCCCAAGTAGAATAAACTAAAGAAGAGATTGAATACTGACTTGATGTGAGACAAACTTAAAAAAATTTAATTATATAAATAAAACCTTTTCAACATTATCATGCCTTTTTATAAATTTAATATGATACTTTTCAGGCCATATAGTAGCACCTATACATGCCTTTTCGAGGTCAATCGGCGTTGGTTTACCATCTTTACCTAGTGGTGATGCATTTTCAATTTTGAAGCACCAAAGAAGGCGTGAAACTCCCAAAAAAAGCTCAAGTTCAGCCTGTATACGTTAAGTATAAAGCGAAAATTTTTAAATTCATAAATGACAAAAAAATTTACCAATAACTTGAATTATTGTTAATTATAAATTATATATACCATATGAATTGCGGTGCAAAGTCTTCTGCCAGCTCCAAATCCGAAATGGTCTCTATTTTGATAATTTCCATTTGCTAAGACTGCACTACTTTCCATAATTTCAAAAAATCTTTCAGGTTTAAATTCTTTAGGATTTTCATATCTTCTTTCATCCATATGAATTCCATATTGATTTAAAACAACAACAGAATTTGCTGGAATATGATATCCATTATATTCATCATCTTCTTCAATATAATGGGGTATACCCAAATAAATTGGACCACAATATCTTTGACTTTCTTTAATAATTGCGCGTATATAAGGAATGTTTTGTTCATCAAATATATTCGGTAAACGAGATTGGCCAATTCCTTTTTAGAAGTTTGTATTACTCGCACAAATAAGTGGCTGCCCAGAAGATCAATTTTATAATAAAATATATATAAAACCTTTTTAGAAATTTTTTTTATTAGAAAAAAACAATTTTTTTTTGGCACCGATAAAAATTATATATTATAAAATATAAATATTAAAATTTCTGATCTTATAAAATTAAAATATATTTATTATTAAAACTTTGAATTTTAACAATTTTAAAATTTTAGATTTTTATTATGTTTTTATTATATAAATTTTGTAAAGTTGAATTGTAAATTTTTTTTTATATTAAAACTTATATTTTATTATAAAAATAATTTTTTATTTTTTATTTTTTTTTTTAATAATAAGGTGACCACTTAGGTTCCCAGCACTTAGCTTTATTCAGGTAATTACGTTATTACATCAATTTCACGAGGATACAACTAGTCACACGTGTACTTTTGGTACCTAATTTAAGTAGTCCGCCTGGGTTCTATACTAGCCGCCATACCTGCAACCTAACTAGGAGATTACCTATTTAAGCTCTCTGAT